ATTTTCATCCACTTAATTTAAAAAATAAAGTTATTTATTCATTTTTCTTTTCTTTTTTAGTTTCCACAAACAGAAAGAGAATGGATGAATATAGCGAAGCTTTTTGAAGAAAAATGGAATTTCCCGCATTGCCTTGGAGCAATGGATGGAAAGCATATCAACATTATTCCTCCAAGTGGAAGTGGATCAGAATTTTATAATTACAAAGGAAGACACAGCATGGTTTTAATGGCTATTGTGGATGCAAAATATCAATTCATCATGTGTGATTTTGGTACCAATGGTAGAGTTTCAGACGGAGGTGTTCTAAAAAACACCAAGTTTTTTGAAAAACTTGAAAACAATAAGTTAAACATTCCTGTTGAAAGTAAAGTCAGAAACAGTAGTAGAAGTATGCCCTATGTATTTGTAGTTGACGACGCCTTTCCTTTAAGGGTAGANGTCTAAAACCTTCAAATAATCTCGCTACAAAGTCTTAAGGTACTGTATGTAAAGACAGTTAATGATAATAAATTACTTAAGAATAATTTTAAAACAATTTAAAATTTTTATCTTGAGTATAGACTGCACCCTAATGTTGGACATAAAATTTTGGGTAGAACAGTGTGACCTATATATGTGTAAATATATAGTAGAATTTGCTTATTGTATTAATAATTGCAGATATTGTTGTCTAATCAGTTGTCTAATGTTATAAGAATTAGCATGTCCCAAAGTGTATCAATTAATGATAATCAGTTTTATTTCTTTAGATAGGCATTTTTGCACCATTGTCTTCAGTATGTAGTTGATTACATGCATTCATTCTGTTAGTGAATGTCTTAAATATTGATTGATTTTAATCATTATTTGTCCTCAGTACAGTAGTTAACTGAAGAAAGAAATGCCAGAAGTTTGTCCTGGTACTACTATATGAAAAAAAAGCCTAGGCAAATATCAAATGAAGATTTATTATTATAGAAATCCAAGTTTAATATATAATTACTTTAAAAGTCCTTTAATATTTTGTGGAAATTCAAATTTCATTGACTGATAACTTAAGTAGTGTATATAAATAAATAAATGTTATTAATAAGTGCATCCTGAAAATCTGATTAATTAAAAAGTACAATAGTCTGCTTATTGTAAACTTTCATCATATCCATAACTAAAACTTTATTTTTTGAATTTAAGAACAATTTTAGCTTAATTAAAAGATAACTTCTTTTTTATTCTATTTTTACAAATATTTACATTTTACAAATTTCTTAATTTAGGATGATACCAGTGATGAATTGCTTCCTCAGACCGATGTCTGTGGTAACTTTCAATTCTCTAATGACGGACCACCAGAAGGAGGATTTTCATTTTAAAAAAGAAGAGAGAATGTAAATAATTTGTTACAAAAATTTTACAGTACTTGCCAAATTTTGTATTTTTTTCAAATCAATTTCAGTTTTCATTTCTAAAAAAAATTTGAAGTTCCTACTTGTATTGACTGTTAAATTTTATTTTAATTCTGTATTAGTGTTGGTATCCATTCTTCTTTCCCATATTTGTGTATTTCTATTTTTGTAAAATTTATATTATTAAAATTTATTGTGACATTTAAATGGATGAATTTATTCAATATATAAAATATCACATTTGATGATAGAGAGAAAAAATAAACAAATTTTCAGTAACAATGGCTTGCTCTTGATTTCACATTTAATACCATGTCATCAGTTGTTAGATGGTAAAGATGTTGAAAAAATGTGTTGCTGTTTGGTTTCTGTGGGGAAAAGGTAGTGCAGTAAAGAATATTCATAAGGAAACTGGTCCTTTCTCATGATACAGTCGTCTTAGCGAGTAGAAAAATATGAAAATGGCCATAGCAGTATTGATGATAAAGCTGAGTCTGGTGATGAAACCCATGGGCATGTTGGGGTTATTTCAACACCAAAAATTTGACAAAAGCAGAAAATGTGATTAGAGCTGACTGCTGCATAAAGGTTGCTGACATTACAGCTATACTTGTGTTCCATGGGATGGCATACATGATAATGCATAACCAACTGGTATTTCAGTGGATTCTACATGATATAAAAGCAGCTGTGGGTGGCTTATGTCTCGGGGAAACGGAGTTGGTACATTGAGCGGGGGACCTTACACATTGTATGGAATCGTCACAGGTGCACTGTTTCCAACCAAAATCAAAACATGATTCAATTCTACAGAAGTACAAACCTTTACCAGTTTACAAGAAATTCAAATTCAACCCCCTGCTGGAAAAGTGATGATGACTATCTTTTGGAACTTGCAGACTGCTATTGGTTCATTTCCAAGCAAGAGGTGAAACAGTAGATGCAGCTAATTATGAGGTGCTGAAGCTAAAAATAGATTTGGCAAAAAGATCCCAGCATGAGTTTGCAAAAAAATGGATATAAAAAAATTGGCAGATTGTAAATTAACTACAGAGCAATATCCTATTTTCTTTCATTAAATGTCTTCTTGTTTACAACTGGTTAATTAATATAGCTTATAATTAATAAATATGAAATTAATATAATTAATTAATTTCATATTTATAAACATATATACATATCAGAAATTGCTAGAAAACTTGGGCTAAAAAATGATTTGTAATATTTATGTTCTTGGAATATTTTTCTAATACTATTTTAAAGTACATTTAACAAAATATATTTACTAATACTGTATTGCCAAATGTGATATTACTCTAAATATGGGAATTACAATATGTACTAAGCCAATAATTCCAAATGTATAAATTTTCAGTCGATTGTATCAATTAGGGATGAATCGAATAGCAAATAATCACTTAATGTCATTATTGCTGAATACTAGATATTCTTGCCTTTCTGACCACCGAATATTCAGCCAAATATTGGCCAATTCATTTGGAACTCAAACAGAAGGTTAAGACTTGGAATAATGTAGAAGGCAGCAAGGCCAATTTATTTGTAATTTAAATTTTAAGTGTGATTGCAATAATGAGCTAAACCATTTTTAAAAGATTTTCTTGGGCTTCCATCTATTTAATTTTTGGAAATTATACTTTTGATTGTGAAAGAATATTGTTTTTTCGTGTATGTGTGTCATCCTTCTCCTTCTGCAGAGTTTCGAAACATTAACAACACCAGCTGGATAGAATCTTTCACCTTTGAACAGTAAATGTGGATAGGTAAAAACTTCTTTGAAACTGCAATGATGGCTGAGTATAAAGTATGTTTTAAAAAAACCTGTAAACAGATGCTTTTTTATTTTACTCTGCCAATTGAGATTAAGATAATCTTTTACCCATGCCCATCACCATAATAAAGGGTGATCGAGTGGTGAGGGATAGATTCTGACATAACCGGGTTGACTGAGGAGAAAATTTGAGCTAACCTAAATTTGAACTTTTGTTCCCAGAACAAGCCTTTGCCATATTGCTTGTCGGCACAAGATTTTAAAGTATTTTTTTTTCCCTTGTAATCAAAGTACCAATAATTGAATTAAGTTGCCATGTGCTCCCAACTGCTTGTCTTGGGACCAAATCATATCTCAACTCCTATGAAAGATAGCATGCATGTTTTGAAAACTAAAGCATTTTGTTAAAAACACTGGAGTTTTGTTATAAATGAATGGTGTTTTTATTAGGAAATGTTTTAGCTTTCAAAATATGTAACCCTTCAGAAGAAAAATCCATGCATGCTGTTGGCTGTCTTGAGTACACACAAGGCAGCCATGCAGAAAAGTCCATACCATACAGTTTTCCCCATTTGTTGTTGATGTCCAGCAGATTCCCCTTTTGAGTATTTTAACCAAAAACATTTCGTACTAATTTTCAGAGACAGCAACATGGTTTAAACATAAATTAAAGTTGTAGTCTTTTGTAGGGTTTTGTTCCATAAGAAAGAAAGATCAAGGGTGCATGGTGGTTACATCCATTACCAAATAATGTACTTTTGCACACTTGTTTGTTCTACATTGTAACTGAATACAAGATAGAGCCTGGTGCAATGTTTTTATCTAGACTCTAAATAAACTATATATAATAAAAAATTGCAGCCCAATAAAATATTCTAAATCATGTTCTTAATTTATTGCTTGTATTTAGTTAAGACAAGAAAACAAAGACAAATGCAAAATTCTTTTAGTGGACTGAGGACCATTCTGCAGTTACATTTTAAAGAAATTAATGTTAGGTCTATTTTAATAAAAATTTTGTATGTGAGATCCTGGTCATTCCTGTGAGAAAATCAAATATTTAAATTTTTGCTTATCCCTGGGAGAAAATTATACTTATGTTTTAGTTTGTGAATCATATTTGATATTAAATAGTCTGAAAAACATGCTTTGCTCCTTTTAAATCATATTGCAGTTTTCATGAACAATTTTGGTTTGTTTTAGGTCCCAATGGCACATTGGTTTGGGACCCTTTTTGCCCATAGTATAATCTTTTATAAACTCACTGTAATGAGAATATTGAGATTCAAATTTGGCACCATACCTAGGGACCCTAAATTGTTGATGGGGTGCACTGGTGCAAAGGAGAACTTAACCCTCCAGGGGCTAATTTAAAAAAATGAACAAGACTATTGGAGATTCTCTCAAAAGACGTCTGAAGTCAACACTGTACACAGGGTCCCATGAAACTAATGCACCACTGTTAGGACCCATTCTGCTTTGCTCTCATTTGATGATTACTTCAATATAGTGATCTATTAAATGATACAAACATGCATCTATTTTATCTTAACCAATTTATTTAACATTATCAAATAGTGCTTTTTTAATTAATGGTCCGAAACAGACACTTGATAAACTTTAGATAGGTTGAATTATATTGATAATGATTTCCCATAGCTTAATTGTTTAGTAGCAATTTTTATATAATACATATTTGGCAGCATTTGACGACACCTTCCCTGTAAAGATAAAATTTTGTTTGATATAATAATCATCATATAGTCAAAAAACATCTCAGTACAGGATGGCCCAAAAGTTAATCAATATTCTAAAAATTTATAACTGTATGTAAAACAACAAGAAGTTGTTTGAATAACTGACTTTTGGGCCACCCTATGTGTTAATAATTTTTTAAATTAAAATCTCAGTTGAAATTATTATTATGGTGTAAACAAGTTTATGGATTCATAAGCAATGTCAGTAATGATAACAATGCCCTATGCAATGATTGAATTCTTTAAATTGCTATGATTAGTGACATTGTGAATTTATAACCAGAATACAGTGTAAACCTGTTACGTTACAAATCTACATAAAGTCACTAATGATAGTAAGACACTATAGCAATTATAGAATTCTTTAAACTGCTATCATAAACATGTTTATTCTTTGGTTCTAGTATGTTATGTAGAAAATTGCAATTGTCATTGGAATAGAATGTTGTCATTTGCAATGTGCTTATACAAAATACTGTACTATCATATTTTGTTCAGTGCCATATGAACTTGTCATTAACATTCATTTACTTAGACTTTATAATGGTGAAATAACTTCAAGCAGCTTGGAATAAGTAGGATTCATATTACAGAAATCTTTAACCAAAGATTGTCTGATTATAATCTTACAATCAATTGAGGTGGAATAAACTTTCATTAATGTAAGGAGTAAATTATTCAAGATTTTTGAATAGACAAGCAATAACTGGACGAAACTAAACCTTTAATGTCCGTCATGTATTTTTCAAATGAAGAAAAGTTTTTGACTAACTTAAGCCACTGCCAGACTCATAATACAAAAAGAATTGTTAAATAATCATTGGTTGCATTTGGCAGATTCAACTCTCATGGAATAGTTGAGTATTTTTCTGCCAAATGCTCTTCATAGCAGTTACAGTTTCAAACATATCGAGTCTCTCTTAGCATCACACTTGATTACTAGTACATACATGATTGGTATGTACTAGCTACTACTATGGTTGAGTCTGCCAAATGCAGCCATTGTATTGGTATCATTACATAATATATAAAAATATTTTTCAAGCATACTCAAATAAGAATGCATATAATGCTGACTTAAAGCCAATTTTCTAGACTAGTTCCAAGTATAGAAAGAAATTATCAAATGATGGCCAATCGAGTTGGCCCAAACTATTTGTTTGTTTGAAAAGTACATGCTGGATGCTGTTAGTTTCAGTTTCATAAATTTTCTTCTAAATAATAATTTACTAAAATGAAGATTCTTATTTGTTTAGAGCAAAATGTTTAAAATTAAGAACAAATTTGAATAATTTAATTCTATTTATTCTATTTTTTGTAAGTTAAAGATGATCAGATTATGATTGATGGTTCATTAGGTCAGATTATGATAAAAAATGTTTATTAAACTAACTTAAAAATAATATTTTAAGTTAAATTCTAAATACAATAAAATCCCAATTATCTGAGGTAATGTGGATCGATACCACAGATAAATAAATTATTCAAGTTTTTGGTTCTCATAAGTACAATAGGAAATGCATTTTGACAATTGATTCCCTCCAACAGTTACAACAAACTTAGATCCAAAACAACTTAAAATACAAAAAAAAAAAAAAAGTGAAAAAAATATTAAAAATGGATGTCATTAATGTAGATGGCTACAACTGTTTTGGATTAAAAATTATAAATGTAAAAGACTTACATGGGATATCAATTTTATTTTAGTGAATTTAATTTTATACAACAACAACAATTTTTTACATCATTTATTATACTGTAATAACTACAATAGTTTTAAGAATAAAAACGTGTATTATTACGATTAAATTTTTATACATATATATTATTTGTCTCATGCTGAAGTTAAAAAGTAACAAATGAGAAATAAATAATTTTGTAATACATGTTATATCATTTTAAACTTTCTTTTATGAATTAACATCATGGCCCCCACATGATAGTGACTGACCGGACCAGGTATGAATATGGCCAGCTTGTATTTTTTGTTTTGCTTGGATTTTCTTGTGGAATATTGAGTTCAATTTAATTGGAATATTTAATTCTTGACATAGTTTAATTAATATTCTAAGCTGTTATTATTAACTTAATATAACAATCATCTATATATATATGTAAAAATGGACATGTATGTCCCTATATTTCACTTTTCCGCCAAAACTACACATCGCACGTGAATGGTGTTGGTATGTGGTGGTAGCACCAAGTCTCCATTCATGCATAGGGTGGTTGTGTCTTGATAGCTATAAGGGTGCGGGAGATATGAGGCTGAAAGTGGTTGAAAGTGGCTTTCTATTTCGAATGTTTTGTTCGAATTTGTTCGAATTAAATTCGAACATAAAATTCGAATATTGGTTCGATTATAGAACGATTGTAAACGTTCCAGAAACGTTGAAAATAGTTCATTTGACTTGACGTGAACAGGAGACATTCAGAAATAGAATCGGGACCAGATCTCTAATTAGAAATGGGGGACCTAATTCTTGCATTCTGTGAAAACGGGTAAGATTGGCTATAATGTAATTATCTTAATCTTCACTATTGTTACTTTTTAAAAACCCAGCAAAGCAGGTCCTTGCAGCTAGATTCTAGATTACTTAGAAAAACAGTCTTTTATATATATAAAAAAAACTATATTACATACAAATGTACGAACAAATAAAAACCCAGCGAAGCAGGTCCTTGCAGCTAGTAAGAGTATAAAAATGATCTTTCTGAGTCACGAGGAAAGCTGAAAAAACTTATCAAAATTTTTCTGTTTACAATTATGGCAATTGTTCTGTGACTTTTTGCCATTTTGATAATTTTCTCTTTTGTCACTAAGATTATCAGTAATTATTCAAATAACAATAATAACAATTACAGATCTTTCAGTAATCTGGAATATTCACTGAAGACATGGCAAAGAAACTCAACTGGTCAGGAGTGACTAAATAACCTAGCAATTTTGTGCATTGAAAATGATTTAGCTAAATAAACAAATTTTAGTGATGTGACAGAAAAATTTGCTTTGGCAAAAGCCAGAAAATTTACTGCAAAATAATTAAATCAATAGTTTCTTGAGTTTTGTCTTGTTGATGTGCTTTGTTTTTCAATTTCTGTCATTCTTTCAGTTCTTGTACTGGTTCCTATTTTGTTTTTGTTTTTAATGTTGTGTTCGTCATTGTAAAATTTGTTGGTGTAATTCCTCTATTGTCTCTAATAAATCTAATCTATGTTTTTGTAAATGCATGCTTAATTTGTGAATGAAAATAATATTTTTTTGTCATTTAACTGCCTTATCAAATCCCAAAGCAGCTGTGGGGCCAAGAGGTTAGGTCCCTCGCCTCACACCACTAAGGTCTCTTATTTGAGTGGGGAGGGGTGTGCTCACCAATGATCCTGGTATGGGGCCCCCACTGTAGGATATGTGGGTCATGATTAACAGTATAAGAAACGTAGTATATTCACTCACAGGTTTGCCTCAGATAATCAGGTTCTATTGTATATAATGGGGTTATAAAAAGTTTTAAAATAAATTTTAATCATATTTCTTACCTTGCAAAAGGAATATATGAAAGAGCATACCATGACATGGACAGAAATTGAAGAATGCAGAATAAAAACACCAAACCAACTTTTCTCCACTGAAAGAATTATATTTCAATTTAAAATCAGGCTGTATGTTTATTAATTCTAATTGTGTAAATACAAGCACATGCCGACTTTTTATTTGACAGGGTAAGGCAACACAGAACAAGCAATATCTATTATGGTGCATCCTGGGAGGACTTTCAATGCATATGTTAAAACATTTCTGTTTAATATATGATTTTATGTAGAGGCAATAAAAATAAATTTTTCCATATGATTTTGATGTTACTAATATTCAATAGTTTTGTCTAATATTTAAGGGAGATGAGAATAGCCAACAACAGAACTTGTAAACAAATAACTAGCAAGAAGTAATTGCAAGAATTATGTAGATGATGTAAAAGCTCTGACATCAGCTATTATTGATGGCAGGAACATAAGGAAACAGTAATAAAATAGAGGTGACAGAAATAACAGAACATAATCATTTCCATGTTACAAGCCATTACACTTAATCAGATACACCAAACAGACTATGTATAGTCAAATCTGACCATAAGTACAAAATTACATGCTCTGTGTAGAAGAGTATGAGAAAACTGATAATACATTTTTCTTTAAGTTGAAAAAATATGATACAAAGCATATTAATTTGCACTTCAAATCCCCTGCAAAAAATACATGCCAGCTATGTGATTCATTAAAACATATTGATTTCAATCCAGATGATGCAAAGATTAAAGCTACTACTAAAAGGAAATTCCTCTGCATTTTTAGCCTGTAATGGTGAACACTTACTAATAAAAATACATAAACACTTTCATCTGCCAATGCTTTACCTTTGATTTAGAAAAGCATTGCCATTTCCCAAGTTTGTTTTATAGTGAGCTACAGAACAAGTTAAGTATACTTACAATCTGGGAATTCACTGTTTGAATGACAATACTGGTAATTGTGTACATATACAGTAGTACATGTGGTACATGTAAATGTGGGATGAGGTACAATATTTTCAAGAAATTATATTCTGTTTATGTGCATGCTGCTTTAAATGTTTCACTAATAATTCACACATTATCATTTATTGCAATTTTTGCCCATACAACAATCTGAACATCAAAATTAGCCTATCCGTTTTAAAGCTTTGTAAAAGATGAAGAAATGGCAGCAGAGCTTATAGATCACAAATTCTTTGTATTTGGTCATAGTTATCTCCTAAGTCAGTGGTTCTCAACCTTTTTTGTTGATGTACTCCATTAGCCCATTAGTTGTTTCTCAAGTACCCCTTATATTTCTGTATGTAAATTTTACAATTACTGCATTAGATGTATACAGTCCTTATAACTGAGCACCATAAAAAAAAACTCTAACTATAACTAAAAGTGAATTACTTATTTTACATAAATAATAATAAATTTAATCAGGTACATACATTTATTTATTATTATTTGATAAGTATATTATATAAAATCACAGAAGCCATTTCAATACATGCATAAATTACATTTCCTAAAAATAAATAATTATAATTAAAAAAAATTTAAATTATTCTACAATAATTTCTAACAAAATTTAATGGGATATTTGTTGCGATAAATCTTCAGCAATTTTTTCAAAATTTGGCTCCCACGTTGTTAAATAGAGATTATAATTGTGTACTGACCTTGAAAGTAATGGCTGTGAATTTATAACATGCAGAACAATACATGAATCTTTCAATTTTTGTAACAAATGTAATGTACAAATTTGCTAAATATCAAGTAATGTGTGCATGCAGTGACATGCATTGCATGGTGGTGATATGATCCAGGCTTCGTTATTCCTAATACCAGTAGTCCAGTCAAAACACGAAAAGCCCCAATCTTATTGAGAAATATTAATGCTCAATTAAACCATAATTTTACTAGACTACAGTTTCACTCAGCACTAATGGCACAAATAGACAGACAAATCAAGTGGATAAACAAATTGTTTAGACTGTTAAAAGGGAAATCAGTATTCACACTGGAATATTTTAAAGCAAGTTTTTTCGTTTCTTGTTTCTTGTGTTAATAATTTACAGCAAATTGATTAACATACGCCATTTTATAATGAAAGTTAGATGTACCCCTTTGATTTACGCTAGTACCCCTAGGGGTACATGTACCCCCGGTTGAGAACCACTGTCCTAAGTAATGGATTTTGGAATCACTGAATCAAAGACAAAGAAGAAATTTATATTTGGTCCTGATGATTGGATTGGTGTTAAAACTGCAGAGAAGTCAAAACTATTTTTAGTATCCAAAATAAAAAAGCATGAATTTATATCATTAAAAACTTTAGAAGGTGCAATTAGTCAAAATTGAGAGACAGAATGGAAACAGTTGCTAGAATTATAATACAAGAGTATATTGATTGATATCATCAAAAATACTATAGTTATATTAATTAAATGTCTAATTGTTTACAGAATAATAATAAATTTAGCTAAATTTTGAAATTTATTATTATTAAACTGGAATTTGAATGCAATTATTTAATCATTCATTATTATCATAAGCCTATCAACCATTATAGAATATCGAAAATGATCTGTTTCTAATATCATCTGTAACTTCATATTTTACTAAAAATGTTAATAAATAAATATAGCATATTATCTGCAACATATATTCCAAGTAATATTAATAGTTATGCATACATATTTTATTAGAAATTGTACTTTTATTTGAATAAATTGTAAGAAAATACTTACCCAAAATGCTGAACATAAAGTTAATCCTATAAATACCTAATAAGAAAAATTTATCCTCTTAATTTCTTTGCTTTGTATTATAATAAGAATGAACAAACAGTTTTATAAAAGTTTAATTTCATTTATAACCAAATTGTTGATATATTATAACTATACCACTGCTATTTAAGAATATGGATTTACCAGATATTGTGCCTAGAAGTTACCACATGGTATATATTAATTATGTTCAGAGTAATTCCAACTTATGATATTTATGACAATTGGCAATGCATCTACACATCAATCTCTTTTGACCAAATGGATTTAATTACTAACTTCTATTCAAATGAGAGTTGAGGGTTTAAATCCACCATCATTATCATTTTTCTAAATTATCTGATAACTAAATTTATAGGACAGGAACATACAACAGAGATAGAGCTTTATTAATTCTGGAGGATAATCATTTCAGATGGTATGTCTCTCATTGGTCCTCTTTATTTTATATTAATCTGGTTCTGAAAGCATTACAAAATTTAAGTGAGAATTAAAAATATGCATAAAGTTACAATGAACATAATATTATCCAGATGACAGGAGTTACATAGGGTTTCAAAAGTGGCAACTGGATAAATAATAATGCTAATGAGATTACTCAAATATGATTTCTTTAATTTATTTTGGTGCATTGTTCATTTTGTAACCACACAATTTTCAGAATAAATTAATTTTCATATTCAGGGTTTTTAGTTTATGTACACTTATTTTTATTCTTCAGAAATCATAATTTAATAGAAAATAAGTTTTCACAAATGATCAGTGTTGTTCTTTTGTAGGATCTCTTGTACAAACTAGTTAGTCTTATAAAATGAGCTTATCAAATATCTGAAGTCATTGGAGAAATAGAATATCATTGGAGGATTTCATTAGTTATGTTAGTATGGTAAAATTCTATTAAAATAACAAATATTTAAGGTTGATATAAGGAAACTTGTATCTAAAAAGAAATAAAATCTATTAAAATTGTAAGTCAAGTAAACAGAAAAAAATTATTACTAAAAGAAATACACATAAATTATAAAAGGAGAGAGTGTAATAAAATACTATTAAACTATAAAATATAAAAGGAATTTTGTATATTCTTAAAGGAATGAAACTTATTAAAATGCTAAAACGAGTGTGGCAATAACTGTATGGCTATATAAACTCTGGATAGATGTTACAGTGTAATATAGCAAGATGGGAGAGGAGGGTTATTTTTAATGGACTCTTCTCAGAGCTATAGTAGTGGTTGCCAGATCTCATCAATGACAGTGCGAGTGTTCAAATTCATTCTTTTATGAATTTGAATATTGGCACTTCTGTTATATTATACTGTAACATCCATCTGGAGTTAGTATGATATTAATAAAATGGATACTTCCATTTTATTAATATTTTTATTTAAAACTTTTTATATTTTACTTAATTTACAATTTACTTACATATTTTATTATTATTATTTATCCAGTTTCCACTTTAAAAACTCCATGTAAGTTCTGTCATCTGAGTAATATTATGTTCATTGTAACTTTATGTATATTTTAAACACTAACTTAAATTTTATAATGTTTTCATAACCAGATTAATGTAAAATAAAGAGCACCTATGAGAGACATAATGTCTGAAATGATTATCCTCCAGAATTAATAAAGCCTCTATCTCTGTCATGTGTTCCTGTGTGATTTGTTCTCTCAAACAATCTTATGCTTATTCCTAACAATTGAAATGAGAAGAAGAGGAAATCAAATACATTAAATTTATCATCACAGATGCTTATCCATAGTGCTATATCATTCTAATGGTTAATGCATTAAATAACAAATTGTCCAGTATAACTTTAATACAGTAAAACCTCAATCTCATATTTTGAGACCAAAAACTGGTCAGTTTGAGTTATGGAGAGGTCTATATATGGAGGTATATGAAAAATAGAAGATTTTTTATTCAAACACAAAACACAAAACAGTAGAATAAGGGATGTAACTCTGATATAGATGATATAGAGGATCTGCCAAAAAGAATTTCAAATGACAATAATTATGTTAATTATTTGCTGTATGCATGTATGTACATCAATTAAAAGAGTAACTGTCTGAATTTCATCTACCATCTGCATACAAATGTCTTTTTGTCTGCTACCTCTGGAAAGTGCTATAAACAAAATGGTGACTAAGCATAGTTAAAGGTAAAAAGATGTTTGAATGTAGACAGTAGATGAAACTCAAACAGTTACTTTATTGACTGGTGTACAACACATACTTCTCAGATAATAATTGACATAGTTACAGTAATTTAAAATGATAGCATTCTTTTTGGAAGACCTTGTATTTAAGTCCATGATATTTATTTGAATCAATATTAAAACAATATATAAGGTTATAATAATGATTTAAATAAATATCATAAATTTAGATATATAACAAAATTACCCCTCTTTGCTACATTGAATTTATTCAAAAAATCAAATTTTGCACAATATGTTATGTCAAATTTCGATATTCCCACTAGATATGGTGGATTTTTTCACTAACTGGTAATCTTGCTCATGAACAAATGGTGCATTGCCTGGGAAAGAGGTAACCGTACAGCTGGATATACAAGAGTCAATGACATAGTTCATTTCAAATGAAATGGGATATATCATTGAATTGCTTATCCATCTGTAGTAAGGCCACTTTACCAGGCAATGCACCAAAAGGATTTTCAGAACTTAATGGGTTGGTTGGCACCTGCCAAGTTTGACTAGTTAAACTTAAGGAAAGAGTTGAGATATGTGAAATTTTGTTCATTTTGTTCATTTTGAAAAATACATTATATTATATAGAATGTTCACTAAAAATCTAGTTCAACTTAAGAAGGGATTCCAGAAAGATAGAATTTTAAGGTTAGAGGTTTTATCATATTTTTACAAAGTTTAGTTTAACTGAATTGATATTTTAAAAAATATATTATTAATTGATATTTGATTAATTGATAGAGTAATTGATATTTTTCATTTTTCTCATAATTTAAATGTTGCAAAACTTGAAATTTGAAGTATTTTTTATACTTCAAATTTCAAGTTAAAATTTTTTAAAGTTAAACTTGAAAAAGTTTAACTTTTTTAGTTAAACTTTTCTATATATTTATACTTGTATATAGAAAAGTTTTATATATATTTTATATACAGAAACTTATAAATAGTTAATTTTTAAGCATAAGCATACCAAAGATGTAATTGTTGCTAAAAAGCGAGTCGGAGCAAACATTTTCTTGCACTGGCTTACAGGCCCCATAAGGAAACAAGTGCTATAATTGAAACAAAATTACTTTTGTATAACATTATTTTCTTTAAGTTTAAAATATAGAAAAATAAAGCATTTCAAACTAACATGTTTATTGTCATCGAATCTGGGAATTTATTTTTGAAGTAATAAAACTTGATAAATAACTAAACGAAAAGAAAAACAAATCATAAATATAAAAGTATAATGATGCAGAAAAATCTTTAAATAAGAAAGAAAAATAGATTAATGTATCATTTACTTGAATAATATATAAATTATAGATGAAAGTAACAGAAATATTGTGTTTTATATTATGTACTGTACATAACAAAATATGGATCAATTATTCATAAAATAAATTTTTAAGTTTCTGGCATTCAAAAATTCTTAAATTAAGTCATTGTTCAAATAATTTAATTATTATGAACACTTTTAAAAATAATTTTCAGGTGAGATTCTTACTGGAATAAAAATAAGTCATCTAATATTGAAATTCATTATTAAATTAATGACAACTACTTTGGTCATCTATTAATATTTTATTATTATTATTATTGTATAATTCTTTAATATTGCATAATTAATATTATCCTAGAATTATTTTTATCATCATCATCATCATCATCATCTAGATTCATCAAAAGATTGCAAGAAAAATTATAATTATTTTACTAGAGTTCTTTATTTTCTGGTTTAGTTTTACAATGTTATAAATGTATGATTATTGTGAAGTAGGAACAATATTTCATCAAGCATTGTGAAAACAGATTTGAAATAATTTTTTGTATTTTTAAAAAAGTTATTCTGAACATTTGTATTCAATTTATTTGATTTTTACTTGAAGACACCTCATTTGTTCATTAAAATATTATCTAAGTTTTAATCTTATCTCATTATAAATGTTAATATAAAGCAAAATAATCTTGAATTTGCATATACTATCAATACATCATGCTTCAATAGAGGATGAACCTGCATACAATGTGAACAGCATGGCGACCAAATTTATTATCCATCTTGAATTTATCAAAGCCAGAATGAAATAAATGATAGGATGTCTGAATAGAGTGAATGGCAAGTTAATAAATGGTAAATTTAGTATTTGTTTGACATGGGTCATTCATACATGTGGACAAAAGGGTTCTTCCTTACAATATGGTTGAATTGTTCAGACCCTGAAGACTGTTTTATATTGAGACACCAGTGTTTATACTGTTTGGTACAGTGTATATACTTGACCTCACTTGGGTATTCAATTTTGTGATTCTTTCTATTATTATGGCCTTTCTTAATGATGACTTTAAGATCAATTCAACAATTCATTATTGGATTTATACTTTCTCAAAAGGAGAAAATTATCTCTATAAGTGATTTTCTCATGTTTCAAATTTAGTCTTCTTAACAAAGAGACCTATGTTATTCCTGTAAGCATTTTTTCCTGTATATTTATTAATAAAATTATTTCCTCTTTTGAATATTTACTGTTAGCTTTTACTGATGATTTAAAATTAATATATTCTGATACTGATGTATTACAAAAGCATTAAATCGTTAGTCAGTTCTCTGGAAAGATTAAAACTGCAGTAAATATAGAAAAAATCCAGCAATGAGTTATTTAATTTTTCATCAACAACATTTAAAACTGTGTATGGCACAGTCTGTTATGATATTTTATTAAAAACAACTTTTTATACAATTAATTATTACAAAAGGCAAACAGCTTCATTTTGAGGGTATGGATCAATTTTATAAAAAATTGTAAATGCTAATAACAAGTAAAATCTTCATTACTGATCCCACTTGAGATATAACACGACTCCCCTCTTAACCTTTAACCATCAAAATTTAATAGCATCAATCCTCCTAGTACATGAACCTCCTTGAAAAATTTAAGATATTTTCAACAAAAAAGCACAGGTGTTACTAAGCTTTAAAGTGGGTGAACAAAATAATCCCCCCCACACACTCAATCATACATACATACATACATACAGAAGAAAAACCTAAAAGTTTTTTCTCAATGTTTCAAGGTCATGACTCCAAAAATATAAAAATCTGGAAAAGTCATTTTTTTTACTGCTATACTTTCCCTCTGTTATATGTAACATCTGGGAAAGTAAAAACTACTACAGTTTGCTTTTTCTTATTGAAAAATCCCATCTACTCAGGTTGTTTTATTTCTAAGCAGTCAATTGTAACTGAGATTCTGTTTGCAAAATGACACTTGAAGTAACATTTGATCAGAAGCTTACAATTAATAAATATATTTAAAATGTTATTAAAAGGCTAGCCATGTATAGCCATGCATGTATAGACACTGCAAAATCATATCATCTAAATTAATATTTAGATTGTTATTTCTTGTTAACTATGTACTTTCAATGGTTTCATGTACAGTACCATGGCACTGAATTATACCCTTGAAAAATTAATATTTGAATCAGATAAGACTATTGTCTAAGTTTATGAAACTGCTTATTTAAGAAAATCAAAACTCTTTACTTTATTGAAAAAATGTTTTTGGCTTCTGCCAAGCCATAATTGTTTCAATCACAACAGAAAAAGCTTTCCTTAATGGTTGATGATGTACAAATCCAAATTTGTAATAACTGATTTTTTGTAGTTTTTATGGAAATGCTGTTTTTCAAGCTCCTCAATTACTGAAATTAGTTATTTTTCAATTGAACTATATTCTTGCTATTATAATACAAGTATAAATTGTATATTTTTTGTACACACATCTTTGTACATATTTCTTTTTATTCTTTGTAAATGTTATTGTTTTATATTTTCTTTTATGAATTGTAGTAATAAGAAACGTAGTATATTCACTCACAGGTTTGCCTCAGATAATCAGGTTCTATTGTATATAATGGGGTTATAAAAAGTTTTAAAATAAATTTTAATCATATTTCTTACCTTGCAAAAGGAATATATGAAAGAGCATACCATGACATGGACAGAAATTGAAGAATGCAGAATAAAAACACCAAACCAACTTTTCTCCACTGAAAGAATTATATTTCAATTTAAAATCAGGCTGTATGTTTATTAATTCTAATTGTGTAAATACAAGCACATGCCAACTTTTTATTTGACAGGGTAAGGCAACACAGAACAAGCAATATCTATTATGGTGCATCCTGGGAGGACTTTCAATGCATATGTTAAAACATTTCTGTTTAATATATGATTTTATGTAGAGGCAATAAAAATAAATTTTTCCATATGATTTTGATGTTACTAATATTCAATAGTTTTGTCTAATATTTAAGGGAGATGAGAATAGCCAACAACAGAACTTGTAAACAAATAACTAGCAAGAAGTAATTGCAAGAATTATGTAGATGATGTAAAAGCTCTGACATCAGCTATTATTGATGGCAGGAACATAAGGAAACAGTAATAAAATAGAGGTGACAGAAATAACAGAACATAATCATTTCCATGTTACAAGCCATTACACTTAATCAGATACACCAAACAGACTATGTATAGTCAAATCTGACCATAAGTACAAAATTACATGCTCTGTGTAGAAGAGTATGAGAAAACTGATAATACATTTTTCTTTAAGTTGAAAAAATATGATACAAAGCATATTAATTTGCACTTCAAATCCCCTGCAAAAAATACATGCCAGCTATGTGATTCATTAAAACATATTGATTTCAATCCAGATGATGCAAAGATTAAAGCTACTACTAAAAGGAAATTCCTCTGCATTTTTAGCCTGTAATGGTGAACACTTACTAATAAAAATACATAAACACTTTCATCTGCCAATGCTTTACCTTTGATTTAGAAAAGCATTGCCATTTCCCAAGTTTGTTTTATAGTGAACTACAGAACAAGTTAAGTATACTTACAATCTGGGAATTCACTGTTTGAATGACAATACTGGTAATTGTGTACATATACAGTAGTACATGTGGTACATGTAAATGTGGGATGAGGTACAATATNTAATTATTTAGCATAAGCATTTGGCATATGCATTGAATTCAAAGTCGTAACCATATTTGATTCATAGTTAAAAAAATAAAACATAGATTATTTTCTAGATATTTCTATATGTATGTAAATTAAAAATCCAGAATAACTTCCTCTATGAATTTTTGCATATGTGCACAAGAAGAAATTGAATGTGCAAATTTTCTGTTGCATGCAAGTTATTTATTGAATTTCAAATGTTCTTTTATATCATTAAACTTTTAGAATGAAATGATTTTTCTGTTTGTCTTCTTTAAAAGAAGACAAACAGAAAAATCATTGGAAATTTTTATACTAGAAATTTGATGAAAGTAAACTTTTTACTGTGAAACATTTTAAATATATGGCATTCAAAAAATGTGATATATGCTATAATAGAGTGAAAGAGTTAAACTGATTGAAGTGAAGTGTAAGTAGCTAACCAATGAGCAGCATTGGTTAGCTACTTACCAATGCTGCTCATTGTTCAATACTTATCAATGCTGTTCATAAGATAGGCCAGTCTCTCCATAACCAAGTCAAAAGTTCAAAATATTCTACATGTATATTGGATACTACAGGAAAGGAATATTGTTGTTAGGAAAAAGATTTTTGCACCCAAAAATTACACCATAAAGCAATTAGAAAATGATGACTGAAGAAAAGAGATCAAGATCAAAAAACTTGCATTAACACGGAAGTATCAATATATAGTATGAAGTGCATCAAAAAGATACTAGTCCCATTTTTGAAACAGCACTAACAGAATAAAGATTACACACTTCGGCCTGATAGGGCATTGCCCTATCAGGCCATTCAAAATGAAAATGCTATATTTGATCGACACAGGATGAAGAATGATTCCCATGTAAACAATGTGCCTCAACCAATCAGTCAAATGGTTTTGATACCAGTTTAAAGCAGAAAGCATATTACAGTGGAAGGCCAATTCCATTGCAAAAATTTGCAAAATAATACAGAACAATCTCTGCCAATTTACAACCAAAGACTTTTCGAACCTTTCAAAACATGTGAAAAGAAAAAACTTAAATGACTAACAGAACACCGAAGTAGATTTGATTTTGTTACACTTTAACAGCTGATAGCTCTTAATGTTTTTATTTCCAGGTTAAACCCATTAGAATTAATAATGGAAGTCAGACTAAGCTTCGAACAAAGGAAATTCATTCTAAAATGCTACCCAAGGTGTGAAAATACAGATGAAGTGCAAGACAGTTTAGGAGGGAGTTTCAAACAGATCCACCAATGCGACTCACCATCACTCGAATTAGAGATAAGTTTGAAGATGGGGTACCTCCACATATCATCACACG